TTAAAAATAGCAAACAAATCTCAAGGTGTGACTGGGCTTCACAAACTGACTCAGCTCACTGTTCCCAAAAAGATTTCCAGAAAAATGGTAAGCAATTGCATTATGTATCTGACTGGTCAAGGGGACAATACATGTTTAGATACAGAAGTTCAGTTTTACCAATATACATAAATGAAGAATACTGCATTTCTTAATAGTCATACTTCCGATATATGTTTACTAATTGTATTAATGTTATAGATAACTTTAGACTCCCCTTACTTAGCATGTGATGCCATGCTGACTCTGGGCATCTGCCTATTCAATTAAAATAAATATCCTATAAAGACGCCATCTGTTTTCTCTGTACATGCTTGTAGGTAGCTAGTTAGAAGTAGGTTCTAGTTCTAATGCTGCTATTAGTAGTTAGATGACCCTAGCCAAATAATTCAGTTTTTGCATATGTAAATTGTGAATAATTATTAAAAATGTAGTTGAGAGAGTTAATAAAAAATAGGAAATGTGTGGCATATCTTCTTTCTCCTGTTCGCCCTCCCATAACCTGATTTCTCCTCTTCCAAATAGGCTAAGGATCAAAATTTCATGTCTGTCTGGGTTATTTTTTAAATCTGTTATTCAAATGAATTCAGAAAAAATATGATCAAAGAGCAATGTGCTATTTCTATAGACTTTACAATTTTGAAATAGTTACTTCTGGCTAGTATTATAGTAAAGCATATTTTGGACATACAATTGTTGCATTTAGAGAAGATAGTCGAAAGAGAAAAAAAAAAAAAAGAAAGAAGCAAAAAGCTGTTTCAAAATATCCAATGATTCATTAAAATACTTTTGTTTCCTTAGGAAAAAAGTTTCCACATATGCACAGTAATCATTTGGCTTTTCTTAGGCTTAAGCCTTGGGGAGTTAGTGGTATTTGGCTCCTGACATGGAAGTCTTTCTCTTGTCAGACAAACCCTTTTCCCTGCACATTCCTGTGCAAGTTTGTTCTGTTGCGCCTGATGGCAGGCTGCGAGGTGGCTGGGTAGGGTTTGCACTGGCCAGCGGCCTTCCGCACACCCCTCGCTCCTTTAACCTCTTCCTGAGGCGGTCCGAGCTCTGTGGCTAATCACTTGTTCATTGTTTCTCTTTACTTGAATATCATTTACCTGGACAAAAGCCGTTACTATGAAATGGAAACGGACCAGTTAATGTGTATTAAATAAATCAACTTGTAGTTTTTGAGGTCCCTTTGGATGGGTTCTTTATTTTTGCTAATGACTCTTCAGGGTTTCATAAGAAAAGCAAGAACATTTCTGAGAGATTTGACTCTTTTTTAGGGAATGAGTGTGCATTTTGAGAAAAAATATGAACTAGATTGCTTTTCAATGTTGTTTCAAGAAATTTAGGTTTTGATGATTTGAGATTTATTCTCAACATTTTGAACTTCCTATATTCTCAAGAAAGAAGGTAACACTAAGGAAGTTTCATTCCAGGGAACAAACACCAAGGTGATACAGAAAAGTGCACACGAGTAACATAGTTTTTAAAAAGGGCAAAACATTGGTTTACTGTCTAACTTAGACTCTAAAGCACAGGTCATGGAAAGTAGCTGAGACTGGAGTCCATAGAGAAGAATATTAGGATGCTGTGAATGTCAGCATATTGATGAATTGCTGTTTACATTCTGTGTTCTATTTTCTTCATGCTCAGACTCAGTGTTTGAAAATGTATGCAAATTAAATGTTAGCATTTTAGGTAGCTATTAAGGCCATTTGGCTACTTTAGAATTTTCCCTTTAAACATTGATGTTGGTGGTAAGGCTATAAGTGTGTGTGTGTGTGTGTGTGTGTGTGTGTGTGTGTGTGTGTGTGTTGTAAATGTAAATGTTTAAATTGATTCACTCTAATTTGTGAAAAATTGCCCCAACTTAATCTGATAATATATAGAGGGAATGAATGATAGATATGCCTTTTTTACTCCTCATTGGTAAATATGTCATAGGCTCCATTTTCATTTTATTTCTTTGATAGTCTCCAGCCAAATTTATTTAATTAGTAGACCTGCCTTAAAGAGTTGTGAGAACAATGACATAAAAAAAGAAGTATATTTTATAATAGTTCCAAACATTTTTATTTACATAGAAGGTCAATATAGACAGTTTAGTAGAATCACATGTGTTTGCATATCAAAAGAAATACTATATTAATATATATTCACATGAATGCTTATGTGCATAGGCAGACATATTACATTTATATGCTATATAAAGAATATAGGGAATCAATGTGTCCATCGACAAAAGAATTATTTTTAGAAAATAGATTAATAAAAGGCATTATGATACAATAGCAGTTGTGCTCCATTTCCCCATTTTATATTGAAAAGTGTGTAATATTTAGATTTATTTTTTTTGTATCAAGCCATTCAACAATGGTTTAAAAAGAAAAACAAAATTAGTTTGCAATGATCAAATTCTATCATCTTAAATAAATAGTAAATGCATACACAAATTCAACTACTATCAATTAAAAATTAAAAAAATATATTATTGGTATAGGTCATAATACTCCACTACATTTATATCAGGATTTGCAGCTTAAAATATAAAAATTTAGTTTTATTTCATTTCATAATTGATTGCTAATTGAGATAAAATAACTCATCGCCTTCTTTGTGAACACAGTCAGGATTACATTGAAAACAAATGAAACAATAGCTGTGAAACTCAATTCTCACAAACTAATGCTGAATTAGACATTAACAGAAAATTAAAATCAGTTTCATAGATAGTAATGAACTCTTGTGGACAGTGGAGCTACTCTGTAGATTAGTTTTAATTTCCTTCCCATATAAAAACTGCTTCTTTCTAATATGCCAGAGTATTAAGCAAAGAGAGTGTGCATATGCTTAACATGGTATGACTTCAAGTAAATTCCCATGTCCCCAGAGAAACAGGACTGTTTTTAAACTAACAAATCATAATATTCATTTACTTTTATAACAGAATTTAAAGTTAGGAGTAACTTTAGAGGTCATTTAGATCAATCCTCTCATTTAAAAATTTTTACTTATTGATTGATTTTAGAGAGAGAAGAGAGAGAAAGATCAATTTATTGTTCCACCTACTTCTGCATTCATTGGTTGCTTCTTACATGCTCCCTGACAGAGGACTGAACCTGTAACCTTGGCAGTCCTTGGCATAGTGGATCATCAGTTCCCTCATTTTATATATAACTAATGCTACCATGGTGTTTTTACTAATGAAATTAACTATAAATATGTTCAAATTTGTGCAAAGAGACTATAAGAAATATAACCACTCAATTGTTAAAACCATCTATTCACCATCAAACATACACACTCACAGGAATGAATTATCTATTTGTGAATAGATAATCAAAGTGCTAATTACATTGATACACATTTTAAACAAAAAAGTCAATACAAATATTTATAAATAGCGGCCCCAAAATAAAATGCAATTGCTCATAATATACCTGAACATTTCAGGACTCACCTCACACAAGAACGACATAGTCACTGCTAGGGGAAAGAGTTTAGTTTATTGAATGAAACATTTATAATTTGTGGCTACAGGTTTTGAAGCTTAGAAACATAAGAGTTGGAGTTATGTATTTTGATAACATTTGCAAAATTATGTGATTACTGAGTATTCTATAATGATTCGTTTTTTTCTACTCATTCATTTTCCAGCATGCATTTTTCCTCTGAAATTAAAAACATGATATGACAAAGGATTAAGTTTTACAGGTATATAGATAATAGAATGTTCATTCTGTCTTTAGGATAATGAATTTTATAATCTCCAGCATTATCCTTATATCTAGTTAACATTAAAGTTATTGATAATAAAAGTAATGTGTGTTTGATGATAAATATTTGGAAATACTAAAAAGCAAGAATAAGAAAATAACAACAAAAACTTACCAGACAGAAAAACAATATAAAATACACTTTGGCAATTTTTATTTCCACAGTAGCTACTCCTCCCCTGCTCTTCTCCATCACATACATGTACACATATATGTAAACCTGCATATTTTTATTACACATTCTGACTCCACCACTTACATGCTGTGTGAACTTTGGCAGTTTCTTCACTTATCTGTGCCTTTGTTTCTTCATGTTCAAAATATAGAGGATAACAATAACTGCATTATAGAATCGTAATAATCTGTGGGGCAATTAATAAGTATAAAGTTTTGTAAGTGTCTGGCATAATGTATTAACTATTAATATCACTATTCCCATATGTTTAAAAATGTTTTTAAAATCATCTAAATGTTCTCATTTTTATTTGAAAGACACACTAGCCATGGCTAGATTCTTGTTTTATTTTCTGTAAGCCACAACAATACCCCTTTTCTTTATGATAATAGTGGTAAGTGGAACATCTGAAAAATATGTTCCATGCAAAATGGATCTTCACACAGACTTAGTTTGTCATTTTAGTTTGATTTTTGAGAAATGAGTTAGGCACACCTGCCAAATCCTTTTATAAGATGCTACATTCCTGTTTTTATTTTAGTTTATTTCGTTTATGGAACGCACTTTTCTCCTCCACCCTACCCTCAAATAATTAGGCCTCCATCCCCCATTTCTCCATGTCTCAAACTATAGAGTTGCCATATGTTAAATGTTTAAAATAAAAAGTGGAAGAAAAGTGGGGAAGAAATCTGTCTTTTTTTGGTCTGTTTGGTTTTTTGCAAAGTCATCCTTCTTTTGGTATATCTAGATTAACAAAAATCTTTCACACTCTGGAAATATACAATTTGATAAAGGTCTTTAATTTTTCTTCTAAATTTGACATAAATATATATTTTTTGAGGGTGGGAAGGAGAAGGCTGGTTTGGGGAAGGGAAAGGTGGGGTAAAGCAGAAGAAGAATCAGCTTAAGAACATATGTTATTATATATATCATATATTTAAATTGAAAAGTTAAATAGTTAATGCTTTTTTACAAACTGTCTTTGATACTGTGTTTTGTTTATTCCATCCCAGAAAAAGTTAGCGGTATACAGCAAGATGCAGGACTCTCTGGAAGTCACCCTTCCCAGCAAACAAGAGGAGGAGGAGGAGGAGGAGGATGAGGAGGAGGAGGAGGAGAAAGACCAGCCTGCCGAGATGGAGTACCTTAACTCTCGCTGTGTCCTTTTCACTTATTTCCAGGGAGACATTGGGTCAGTAGTGGATGAACACTTCTCAAGAGCTTTGGGCCAAGCCAGCACCCTCCATCCAGAATCTGCCATTACAAAAAGCAAGATGGGGCTAACCCCCCTATGGCGAGGTAAGAATTCAAAAGCAGATGCTCTCCAGGGCCCTGTCTCTGTTTCGCAACTGCCTGTACCAGTTTCCAGCTGGAGAGTTGCCCCTGAAGGACGGATATCCACTTGCTTTTTAATTTTTAAGGACAGCAAGGAATTTCTTTCAGACAAACAGCTGGATCAGTTTTGTCACATGTGGAATGCAGGGTTGGAAAAGATGCAGTCACACCCCTTAAATTCCTCATGGAAAGTAGTGATGCAACCAGCCGGAGTTTATAGTGGCCAGATCTAGCTGCAAGGCACCATTCCTCAAGCCCCCATGGCCCAATTTGGATGTCTAAATAACAGGCGTGCCTGGATCAGCTTTTAAAAATTAGCTCTCGCTCATTCCACTAGGTGCTACGTGGTGACATAGCAGAGATCGGAGTCTGGCCCGGGAATACCAGCTTTGAAAGCCATCTCTGTTCTCTCGATAGCTTTCCCTGTCCTACTTTGCTGTGTATTAACTCTTTGTCCTGTACAATCCAGACACTACTGACTATATGTACAGGGTTGGACCTCGGTGAAGTAAAACAGTAGACTGGGCATTCTCTTCTTTATTCCTATCTATGTAGAGGTCACAGAGTTTGTTTGAATCTGGTTGTTAGCTCACTGAAAATTGTTGGATGACATGATAATTACAAGGCTAGAGAAAGCACACACACACACACATCATTCCAATGGTAGTTTTAGAGAAATGTGTTATGGACTTCTTTTCTGAACTCACTAGGTTGTTTGAAGCATTTAGGCAAATGGTTCGCAGAGGGTGGTTTCCAGAAGGAGGAACATGGGTCTCACATGGGAGCTTGTTGGAAAAGCAGGTTCCTGGACAACACTCCACACTTTTGGAGCCAGAAACTCAGGGGTAGTTTGTGTTTTGGCCAGGGCCTCCCAGTAATTCAGATGCAGGCTCTTATTTGATAACCATTTATCTGGGGCTGTTATCAACACAGATTTCAGGCCACCTAACTCAGTCCTACTGAATCGGTGTTTCTAAAGGGAGGCTCTGGGAATCACACTTGAACAAGTGCTGCAGGTGATCCTATGGTGAGGAAAGGCTACCAGTGGTTGGGGGCAGATGAGAGGTGATGAGTGGTCAGTCTCCTCTCAGCATCAGAGGGATGGTTCTGCTCCTTTGTAGGGGAGATTCTACAAATCTTTGAAATTGCTGGGTCTGATCTGTAGATAGGATGGCCCCTCCCTCCCTCTCTCCCTCTCTCTGTTCTTTTCATCCTCCCTCCCTCTCTCCCATCCTCCCTTCCTCCCTCTCTCCCTTCCTTCCAGTAAATAAGAATATTAAGATAAGCAGTGACTATAATGAGAAGGAGGAATACAAACTCAAGTGAGTTGAGCCTTGACAGAGATGGATTGGGAATCATAACTGCTTATTTGATTAATACATATTACAGACTTCCCAAAGGATTGAGAATGTTATGTAACCAACCAATGTCCTATTTGATAGTACATGGTGTATACACTTAATAACTTGGAAAAGGTAAAAATAAAGAAAACTAATGAATCAGCTGACTTTAATAGTTTGTTACATCAATAATAGATCCTATCAAGATATATATATCTTGTTGGAAAAGCAGGTTCCTGGACAACACTCCACACCTTCGGAGCCAGAAACTCAGGGGTAGTTTGTGTTTTGGCCAGGGCCTCCCAGTAATTCAGATGCAGGCTCTTATTTGATAACCATTTATCTGGGGCTGTTATCAACACATATATATATTGTATTTTTTACTGCAGAGTAAAAAATACAATGCCTATTTCTTTTAGAATACTGGCATTGGCAACCCTAGTAATCATTTAACCTGGAATGAAGAAACAAGAGCCCTAATTATAGCTATATGTGAGCGTGATTGTCCATAGTATCACAATTAGAATAGTTTTAAGTGAGGTATTGCATGTATGTAAAAAATCTGCAGTTCAGTGTTTTTTCTATAATATGCATGACTGAATAGAGAAGACATTTGGACAGATATCAAATTTCAGTACAAAGAAGGTAAATAAGGTAATGTTTTAGTAACTATTGTTATAATTTTCTTGGCATTATCTTAAATTTGGCCTTCAAATCTACTTCCTCTTATTCATTGACTTACACCGCACATCTTTCTCAGGGTCCTACTGTGTTCTAGGTAGAAGGACTGTATCAGTGCGCAGGAGAGTCTAAGGCTCTACACTCATGGAGCTTTTTAGAGAAAGAGACAGGTAACAAATGTGCAGTGGAACCAAGGGACCATTCACTTAGGGTAATAATAGTTGTTCTCTCTGAAACCATTATATTTGTGCATAGATCTGAAGGGAGAAAGAGTGCTCTTCAGCACATGAATATCCAGAAGAAGATTATTTGAGGCAGAGAGAACATCCAGTGCAAAGACCCTAAGTAAAGACTGGATTTGGAATGTTTAATGTGAAATAGAAATGCTGGTGGGTGTGGAATGCAATGAAAAGTCAGAGGTAGAAACAAGAATCTTTGGAGTTGTTTAAGTCAGTTTAGTTTACCAGAGCAGCACAGGCAAACACAGTGGGCTCTTCGATTTCCGTTTCTCCATCTCCCATTAATTATTTTCCTTAATACTTGGGATAATGCATTCCTATAAGGAAGATCTGGAATAAATATGAATTGAATGATTAAGGTACTGACTTAGATAAACCAAGTTCATACCATGTATCCCAGATTAGAAAACAAGTGTCCTCAATGGAGAATTTATTAGCAATACCTTGTATAAAATCATTGATTACAGTTTTGTTATTTGTAAAATAAGGGGGTTGAATTAAGTGATCATTGAAATCTTTTCTCTGTAAAGTTCTGTGATTTCAAATATATTGTTTACTTCCCATTTGTAAATAGAACTCTGCCATAGCTGTTTCTAGTTGTGAATCAGCATTTTTAGACAAACCAAACATAACTTGGATATAATTAATAGATTCACGAAATAAAGATTTAGAAAATAACATCTTAAAAAGAGGTATAATGAATTGAGACCCCATGTCTAGCAAATAGAGTTATGGGGAGTTTTGTATTAGTTGCCAAAGTCATACAGGTTTGGTTAATGCAGTCTTTGGGTTCTGTTTATTTTGAGTTCAAGTTTGGGCCTTCTTACTGTCTGGTTGCAATGTGATTTGGAATTAATTACTTAAAATCTATCTGGGCTCAACTTTGCCTATATCATATGTGTTTATTGATAGCAATTTCCTAGGGTTATAATAGATAGTTTTTAATAATGTGAGTGGAGAATTTGGTATAGGGCTTGATGCAAGGTACTAATTGAAGGTCAGATGCATTTCCTCTTTTTCTTGTGTCCACTCATTTTACACATAAAACACAAACCTTGGGTCTTTTTACAGAAACATTGTGTCTAGAAGTTTGTATTTCTGGCAGAAACAAGGTGTCTTGGACATAGTAGGTAACAAGGCTATTGACTGCATTGATGGCCATCGTAGTAATATTTTATGCAGGATCTGCTGACCAGTTGTATTGAATTAAAGGGTCTAATTTAGGGCATGGGGTTTTTACAGTGCCACACAAGTGCTATAGTGCTATAAAGGAATTTAAAATTGAATTATGTTTGATTGCAGAATATATTTACACAGTAAATCTTTAGACAAGAATAGAATGTCAGCTAATAATGGACTAATGGTCATGCTTTGTGTATTTTGATAGTTTGAGGAAAGTCCTTTTCAGGTGTTTTGCAGCTGTTAGGCAAACAAGTGACAAGCAATATTTGTATTTTGTTCGACATGATATAATATCAATTCTCTCATATTTCACTACACATTCTAGCAGAGATTGAATAAGGCTTCTCAGTTAAGAAAATCTAATTAATCCTTTTGTCCCCTTATCCCCATCCAAATAGAAACATCAGTTTCAAATATGTCTATGTATTGATCTCAGCTCCCAAATATTACAGAAAGTGTGTGTGGTGTGTGTGTGTGTGTGTGTGTGTGTAGGAAAAGGGAGTCGTTAAGATGAGCCACAAAAAAAAAAATCACTGACTTAAAAACCATGCTAAGCCCAGCCAGTGTGGCTTAGTGGTTCAGCGTTGACTTATGAAACAGGACATCATAGTTCAATCCCCAGTCAGGGCACATGCCTGGGTTGTGGGCTCAATCCCCAGTAGGGGGTGTGCAGGAGGCAGAAAAATGGATGATTTTCTCTCATCTCTGATGTTTCTATTTCTTCCTCTCCCTTCCTCTCTGAAAACAATAAAAATATATTAAAAAAAGAAAAATCATGCTGAATAGTAACATATTTACTGACATTTTTTCTTACTGTAGCGGCAAAGCAATTGTTGCTTGATTGATCTAGTAATGTGTGCTTTGAGCAATTTATTCTGGCCGGAAAGACCTCTCTAAATGAGTAGTAACCTAAAACAGCAAAAGGGAGAGGGGAGTAGTAACCTAAAACAGCAAAAGGATCTCCAGGAGGCTCTGCTGAGACTTTTAGAGCAGGCACCTGGAAGAAAATGAGGTCTGAGGTACCTCAGTATCCTGCCCCCAAAGAGTGTGGGCATCTGCTGTCGCCCTTTGAATTTCTCATTTTAGAGTTACAAGACCCATTTTGAGCAACTCTAGAACAAAGTAGACAAAGGGCAATCTTTGAAGATAATGGTAATGCCCAATTCCTGCCTGACAGAAAGCGTTGGAACACATATCTTTTCACCTCTGACCCAACTATTTATTTTCATGGGAAGCAGAACAAGAGGATGGGAATTAAATTATAGTATGGACCTTTTAGGTTAAAAATACGGTAGCAATTTTTTCCCCCACCGAGTTTACTAAAAAGATAAATGTTATCTTTTAACATTGCTGTTTTAAGTCAATATTTGTTCTAAGAATGTTTTCAAATGTTTTTAAGATAATTTTATAGTGGTTCTATAGAAGTTTATTGTCTAATTTTTCCTCTTAATATAATTTTTTCCCCCAAAGTTAAGTGATACAGCACTTAATTAAAAAATAAATGTTGAATTTTCTATTGCTTATATTGTTTTCCCTTATATGTTTTCTTAGAGATATTTACAGTTAATATAAAAAGTCCCCCAGCTACTATGAATTTAAAGAATCATTTGATGGCTCATGCTAAATTCTTCTATATATCTAAGATTTATTTCAAGTGCAAATCACACAGTGAAATTAGTGGGAATATTTTGGGTGGGTTGTAATGGATAATGTTTCAATTTTGTCATTTTGTTGTTTAGGAATAAGGGTGTGTGAGTATATAATATTTTTCAATCCCAAATGCAAGCTGAATCAATGTATCGATCTTCTGTATGTGTCAGATTGTCAGCGTTAACATCATCCAACTGCCTTGTAACAACACTGGAGAGTTAACGTTGTTCAGTCTGAAGTGCCTCCACCAACCTGAAAAGTAATATTGCATGGAAATGGCTCATACAGTTTCTCATATGCTTTTTCATCCAGCAAATGTGGCTATGATTAAGTTCTTGTGAGCAAAGAGTTATGTAATGAAAAAAATTTACATACATATGAAATAAGTACACTGATTCCCAAGCATGAAATAAAAGCATATCATCTGTTTCTCTGTATCAAGATTTTTTTCTTAACAATCAAGATACCAAATAGTGGTTTTGAAGTTTAGACTTGTCCTGAAATATATTTTCTATTCAGTATCATTTCATTTGCTTGTCAAATGTAACATTGTTTTTGAAACGACTGCATATTATACTAATCTCAGGAGACATACCAACTGGGAAAAGACTAAGTTGCTTCTAATTTTATGTTTCCCTAAGGCATTTTAAAGCTTTGTTCAGACTTTATGAAGTGCATTTTTAAAAATAGAGTTTCAGTTTCAATGACAATGTGTTCACTAATCCCAATACAATACTTCCTAAATAGGACAATATTTTTGGTAAGGAATTTGTTCATTATTCACTTTTGTACATGCATATCCAAAATGCTGAGGCATCTATAAAATAAAATTGGGTCCAAATACATATAAATGAAAATAAATAAAAGGAAAGCAGCCAGAGAAATGACATGTACTCGCTGCATTTTTGATATTTTAATGGTGGCTTTTACTGAGGAACTCCGTATCTCTGGCACACACCCGCCGATTGGGTTCAGCAATGTTTATAACAGGATGTTGGCCTCACTGGGAGATGACAGTTATGCATAGAATGAAGGATTTGGCACCAAAGATTGGATCTATGAAAGCAAAATGGCAGATTGGTGGTGGCAAAGCCGCACTGTATGATGTAAGGAGCCTCTATAAACTCCTTGTTTGGGTTTTGAACTGTGCACATTGACAGATTCCATTGTGGGTGTGACAGAAATATTCCATAATGAGCATCACTTAAGGCAAATTGAATTTTCTTCTCACAGTTTATGCAATTTTCTTTCTTGTCATTAGCAGCTATTTTTCATATGTCAAAGGAAGACCATTCTTAAATAAAACGTATGTGCTCCAGTGCCAGTAAGTTTGATTTCAAGTGCTATTTTCTGATGAATTGTGATTGTGACGAAAAAAATTCATTCAATGAAGAGTATGTCAGGACTGTTTGAAGATTTGAAGAATGGTGTCCGCTTCTATCCTTTGCCTTTGGAAGACTAATACTTCCTAGGTTTCCCAAGGGGGTTGAGGTCCACAGAGATTCTTTGGGGGAGGTCTTGATTATGAGACAGGACTCGCGGTCCATCCATAGAACGAATAGAGTGAATGATGAGCGCTCTGGGCAGGCGGGAAGAGTGGGAAAGTTCGCCGTGCTAGTGCCACAGCTTTTAGGGAGGCTAGGGAAAGGAAATGTTTGAACACCACAGTGATATCCTAATTATATTAGTCAAATTACAGATGTGGTGGTTGATTCACACTACACAAGCTTTCCCTGAAGCTAAACAAATAAACAAACAAACAACTGGCCTGGAAATTTATGAAGTGAGAACATGGACATGGATATGTCAGACTTTTGAATGCTTTTATTTCATAGTACTATTTAGGATGTCCTTTATACAATGGGAAGATCTAGCTATTTGTGTCTTGGGTTCAATTCTAGTCAAGGGCACATGCCTCAGTTATAGGCTTATTCCTTGATCCCAGTAGGGGCACATTCAGGAGGCAACCAATCCATGTGTCTCTGTCACATCCATGTTTTTCTCTCTGTCTCCCCCCTTCCTTTCCACTCTCTCTAAAAATCAATGGGAAAAAACTATCACCAGTTGAGAATGAACAACAACAAAAACAAATGAAATCATATAGGATAAGAACTGGGTGCTAGTTTTTTGACTGAGCTTTCTAGACTCCCAGTCCAGTGCTCACTCATTTCCACCACATCATGGCCACAGGCTCTCACTGGTGGTATAAGTCTTCCTAATTGGAGATCTGACTATTTCAGTCTCCAGATGAAAACCTTTCAAGCTCAGAGATTTCTCAGGACAGCACCCATATTCAGTACATGGTTGGCAAGGTCATACCCACCTGTGCCCTTCTTGAACCCTCTTGTAAAGTTTTGCCACCGTTTGCCCACAGAACTCTTTTTGATACTTCAAATGGTACTTTGCATGTATAAGGTATGTGTGTGCGTGTGTGTGTGTGTGTGTGTGTGTGTGTGTGTGTAATTTTTGGTCTTTTTCACATACTTTTTTATTTGCTTAAAACACTCTTCACTACTTCTTCCCAAGGCTAGCCTGACTCTTTCAATTTAGCTGTCTCTTTCTTCGGCTTCTGTGTTTTTCTTTATGAGAGCACCTACCATGTCATGTGCAATTTATTGTCTGTCCTCTGTCAGGTTGTGATTAAAAATGACATCTCTTGACCATCTGTGTTTGGTACATAGTAGGTCTATAATATAAATGTGTTACTAAGATTGAGTGGAGAAAGTGAATTGAAGCAGTCGGGGAAGGTTCTCTCTCTTATTTCCTTTTCCCAAACACCTTCTCAAATCCATCACTCGTACTTAAATCTCTTGATTTCCACAGGATCTTCGCCAAAATTTAATGTTCAAGTTATAGTGACAAGTGTGCCCTCTTGTGGCACAGTTGTGAAGACTGCTGGCCATCCAGGAAGCAGGCTACCTGTTTCAAAGCTCATTTTCCTACTGGCCAGCTGTGACATCTTGGGCTTCTTCCCTGCCTCTATTTCCACATGGATAAAATGGGAATAACAGTAACAAAAAAATAACAGTAACTACCTGAAGGGAGGATTCAATAAGATCATCTGTGGAAACTATTGGGCATTTGGTCAATATCATTAAGTGTTAACTATTATTCTTATAGACTCCCAGAACTCCACAGGGGGGGGGGGGGGGAAGCCTAGAATACTCTTTCTGATGGAAAATGAGTGTTGATGAGCATGATTAAATGCAACCTTGTTTCCATTTGTTTCTTTCAGCATTAAAATGTTTAGTTTGGCCAAAACTGGTTTGGCTCAGTGGATAGAGCGTCAGATTGTGGACTGAAAGGTCCCAGATTCGATTCTGGCCAAGGGCATGTACCTTGGTTGCAGGCACATCCCCAGTAGGGAGTGTGCATGAGGCAGCTGGTCCATGTTTCTCTCTCATCAATGTTTCTAACTCTCTATCTCTCTCACTTTCTCTCTGTAAAAAAAAATCAATAAAATATATTTTAAAAATGTTTAGTTTGAATGAAAATTATATTTGCATTTAAAGGAAGTAAGTAAGCATCATCATTTCCAACCTACTTGAACCCCATCTATACCATACGTTTTCTTTTCCTGGGACTAGGGACTTAGGACCTTTGCTCAGACTTGGTAGCAGCAAGTCACTCAGGAGGAAAGGAAGCGTTTCAACCCCAACTTGGAGACCTCAATACAGATTGTGACTGAATAAACTGCACAGACTAGGGCAGGGGACCCAGCACCGTGAACCCTGCACATTGACGTGGCCTGGAGACTCACTTAGCCTCAGCTCACTGCTGTGTGGAGGCAGGAAGTGCATCCTAATCAGCCTGCTATAAAATAGTGGACGTGTGGAGGCAAGTCTCTCCTAGGATGGAATCTTACGTAAATAATTTATTTTTCTCTTTTCTCAGACAGCTCAGCTCTCGCAAGTCAGAGGAGTAGCTTCCCAACTTCCTTTTGGACCAGCTCTTACCAGCCCCCTGCACCCTGCTTGGGGGGAGTTCACCCTGACTTCCAGGTCACTGCGCCCCCTGGCACCTTTAGTGCAGCCGACCCCAGTCCCTGGCCAGGACACAGCCTGCACCAGACTGGCCCAGCCCCTCCCCCTCCTGTGTCTGAGTCCTGGCACTACCCTTTGGCATCTCAGGTGAGCCCGTCCTACAGCCACATGCATGATGTGTACTTGCGGCACCACCACCCCCATGCTCACATGCACCACCGGCACCACCATCACCACCACCACCACCACCACCCTTCTGCTGGCTCCGCCCTGGATTCGTCCTACCGGCCCCTGCTGATGCCATCAGTGCGAGCAGCCAGGATTTCTGCTCCCCAGTGTGACATCACAAAGACAGACCCAACCACAGTCAGCACTGCTACCTCAGCGTGGGCTGGAGCCTTCCATGGAACTGTGGACATAGTGCCAAGCGTGGGGTTTGATGCAGGTGAGCTGGGGAACTCCCCCTTTCCATAAGAGAAAAAGCTAAGAAGTAAATCTTTTAAAGAGGGGATGTTCTAAGTACCTTGAAATATTTTTTTACCCTTATGTGTAAAGTTAAGCTTCGCCAATATGTTTATGGAACCTAACCGTGTGCAATAATTCCTGCAGAAACTGGTGTGAGTAATTCATGGAGTACAGTCGGAGGAAGCTAGCTATCTGTCCCTTTGGGCTGGAATCTTTGGTGCTTTGTGCTTGTAAAGTATATTGAACATATTCTCTAAATCTCCCTTGTCTCTGTGCTCTGTGCAATGCCTAATAGAATCATAAATAGTATGTTTCAGTCATTTTTATTTCTCTTCTTTTTTTGTTAAGTCTTATTTATGGTTAAAACAAAACAAATTGCCTCCTGGAATGTAGTCCACGGTCTACTCTTTGAAAAAGACTAGGGAATGTATTTTTTTAAAAAACTGTATTTTTCTTCCCTTTCTTTGCCCTTTTATCTACCCCCCTTTCTCCTCCTCACTTTCCTTTATTTCTTTCTCTCCCTCTCTCTCTTTGTTTTAAATAATACCAGACTTCATAAAACTACTATAAAGTTTATGTTCGACAGATTTTTTAAAAATGGTAAGAGAAATATTTATCCATAGAATATTCAGCTCCTCTGGAATTCACTGGTTCTGAAGGTCATAGTATTAAATGTGTGAGCTTGGTTTTTGGACCAGACTGTCGTATTAATGGCATTAATAGTTCCCAGGTTAACAAAATCACAGGCTCTAGAAGCTAAAAAAGACCCATCAAGTCAGCGATTACATCCCCAGAGTCTACATTCCAAAGGCATCCATTTCACCTCCAGCCCAGGTTCTTTCCCTGGAACATTTGACGACACTTTCTTTCAGAAGTTTAGAGAGTCACCATTTCCTTGGTTTTTCTGTAGTGTGCAGAGCCTTTAACCTGAGTGCTGGTACACAGGAAAGACCTCCCCAGAGAAATGCATGCCCAACATCAAGTGGCATTCACTCTGACAGAAGTGGAATAGCCTTATCTTGGTTATTGCTTCTGTGCTGAGCTTTCCAAGTTGGTCCGTGCCTGGCCTCATCTAGTTCAGATTCCTAGTGAGTCTCTGGTTCAAACTGCTTTTCTAAGAAACTGTCAGGGGACTTGGTTTTCTCTCTAGGAGAAGAGAATGTGGTGGGGCTAACTACAGGCTCCCCTTCTTTCTTAGCCTCAGAATGAAGGCAGCTCTTGAGTTGTTGGATGCCTGGGGCCAGATCTGAGTAGAGTTCCAGTTTGGTAGTTGCTATCCTGGAGGCTCTTTCTTATTGTCCTTCCATGGTACCGGCATGGCCACACTGTATGCCTTCAGTAGGCAAAAAGGGTGTTTTCTCCTTTCTCAGTGACTTTGGGCTGCTATGATAGAGTACCTTTCATTGCATGACTTAAACAGCAAACATTTAGTTTTCATAGTTCTGGAAGCTGGAAAGTTCAAGGTCAAAATTCTGGTACTTTCAATGTCTGGTGAGGGCCCACTTTCTGGTTCATAGACTCTGTCTTCTCAATGTGTCCCCAGAAGGCATAGGAGACAAGAGAGCTCTCTGAAATCTCTTATAAGGGTACTGATTGCATTCACGAGGGTTCGGCCCTAATGTCCTAATCACCTACAAAGCCCCCATCTTCTAATACTATCACACTGGTCATTAGGATTTAACCTATGAATTTTAGGGGGACAAAGACATTCGGTCAAAAATATTCCCTCTGTGTATTCTATAACATAAAGACCGCAAATGGGTGTGATTGCTTGTTGCTCTCCATTTCTAATTCTTTGTTACCTGTTACCTATTTTTCTAGTTATCAACTTTGGGTTGTGAGAAGAATCGGGTAGAAGTCTCACTATGATTATGTTGAACTGGGTCATAGTTGATTCTACAGGGATCTCTGGAGCCCAGATGGCTTTTTATGATTGTCCTGCCTTAAGTTGAGGTGGATGGGCTTTTTTCATTCCTTCATTGACTGGTTATTGCATGGATTTGCCTATTAAAAAGGAAATGCCATTAGGCAAGATGGCTTTATTCAGCTGAAGGTAATTCCCAAAGAGAGAAACAGTTGATGAGCTGCCAACAGTGGGGAAATGAATGTTTTAACATGGAATGGGGAAGGATCAGTGGCCCACCACAAAATCCACTATAGGGGAACAACAAAAGAGTAGTAGCTCTCCTCCCACTTTTCTCGCTCCTTATTAAATAACAGAAGTTTCTGCATAATAGGCCCAGGCTAGGGAAGTAGGTTAGCTGAGAAGAATGAGACATAGCTTCCTCTATCCAATCTATGAAACACTGACCCAAAATAGTGGCTCAGCTCAGATCTTAGCATCAGTGTTGGGTGGCTACCCAGCAGCTGAGGGAACAGCCTGCATTCAGGTGAGACAGCTGTGAAACTTCTCACAACCCAGGTACATTCCATTAGGAAATAAATTAATGCAACCATTTTGAAAGCAATTTGGTTATGGATATGACATTTTCAACAGTCGGGGAAAGGTTTAATAATGCTAGGTGCATTTTTATTTTGCAGCCATCTGTAGGAAACCTGGAAGGTTGAGCATAATATAAAGCTCAATGACTAAAGAAAATTTCAGAGTATCATGTATGATAAAACCCAAAGGTCAGCAAAAAATTTCTGTAAAGGGCCTGATAGAAATATCCAATTACTTCATATGATCATACTGTCTGTCACCACTACTCAACTTTGCTTTTATAGTGTTGAAGCAGCCACAGAGACTTAACTAAATGAGGATGGCTGTATTCCAATAAAACTTATATTGACACCGAAATTTGAATTTTACATAATTTTCATGTGTCTTCAAATACTACTCCTTTTGATTCCCTGTTTTCTCAATCATTTAAAAATATATATAAACAATTTTTCCATACTTAGCTCATGGGCTATGTATATAAACAGGAATGGGCCTGATTTAGCTTATGAGCTGTAGCTTTCTGACCCTATATAATCTCATATGTGCAATTTTTATTTATGCACTCAAGCGTGCACACACACACACATTTGCACCTGCACTTCCATAATTAAAATTATCTGGAAGTATATGCCCCCACTTGTATTGATTGCTTATAAGTAATTAGTAGGCATCCTGAGCTGTGAAGACAAGGCATATTTTATAAGCCCACCTCTGGCACTCACTAACGAAAGGGTTATAGGGTTTTGGGCAAATTACATAGCCCCTAGATGCCTCAATTTATCTTTACAAAATACCTCTGGATTGTTTTGAGGATTAAATGGGCTAATGACATAAAACATATAGAATGCCAGCCAGAGCCTTTCTTTGTTCTGTCCTGCCTCCTGTTGGTCAGCATACCTCATAGTGAGTGATAGAACTCCTGGTCTCCTGGTCCAACTCCTGATGGGACACTTTGCATGTTAGCCTTTTATACACACACACACACACACACACACACACACACACACACACACGAGGTCCAGAGCATGAAAATTCATGCACTTGGGGAGGGGGGTACCTCAGCCCATCCTGCTCCCTCTCATAGTCCAGGAGCCCTCAGGGGTGGGAGGTAACCTGGCAATCAGGGGAAGGTGATGCCCCCATCACATTTCTGCTGCTGCTATTGTTAGCAGCTCAAGCCTCAACCAATCCTGGTAACCTGAGCCTCAGGCGGCCCTGGGGGACTCCGGAGGCAGGCGGGTAGAATGGCTGGGCCCACCTAGGCCCTGCATCTGCTGCCCAGTGGGGCTGAGGGGACTGGGCACCAACCACAATCTTGTGGCTGTGTGCATCTCCATCTTAGAGGGCGTGGCAGTCAGTTAGCATAGTCCCTCCTTATGGGCTGTGGGCACTGCCTTCTTTGTGATGGCATGAGGGTCAATTAGCATATTGACCCTCATGCCATATTTATTAGAAAGGATTGATATACATCATAACACAGCTGTCTTCCTCATGAAAATACCTATCTTTACAAAACACTGTTATCTCAAATCCCATATTAGGCTTTGCTCATTCTCTTTAACAGTCTCAGATAGGGTTTCATGGGAACAGTAGTTTTGGCATGTGATAATAAGAGCTTAACTGAAAAAATAAAAGGTCCATAGTGAGCTGATTTAGTTAACATTGCTACCACATACCTGTCTTTGAAATCACAATCATACATCCTTTAGTAAAGAAACATGTTAAAATTTAATAGGAGATTTTCCACTCTGATTTTCTTATGGGCACATTTTGTTTTTAGCATACTTATTAACTTTTCATGTAAGGCTCTTTGTGAATGCTATTGAGCTTAGCTTTTATCCCACAATAAAAGCTACAGATTTCAATTTTAATCAGTGACTTTCACCTTTCTTTAAGCTACTGTAGAGAGGAAGATTAAGAATGGTAGCTAGAGCCAAAGATAAATACCTAGAAGGGTAAGATGAGGAAGGGAGAGTCTAGGATATGGAGGACTAACTTCAGTAAGCTCAGAGTATTGTACTAGGTCCTGTTGTGTCAGGAAAAAGAGAGTTACATGTGGACAGAATTGTGATTGTAAGACAACATAGTATTAGATAGGCATGTGCAAGTGCAAGACTACATCTCTTCCAATCAAGTACATATTTTTGTGTGTAATGACATTAAGTAAATTCTGACCACTATTCATCTTTCAGTGGCCATAACCATACAATGCATTTTACCGAAATGCTGACATTCTTATTTTCTGTTATTACCAACAATTCACCTAAAATAAGATATACAATGTTTCATATCCCCACCAGTTTGAATTAATTTTTTAAGTAAATATTTCTTAATGAAGTATTTTTACTAAAATACATAGTTGACTTTATTTATAACTTCCACTTTAACCACTGTTTTTAAATTTAGCAAAAGGAAAAGCAATTGTGCTTTGTGGTATGACTTTTTCTTTATAAATCCATGCTGCTATGGCTTGAGATTGTTTTCATCTCTAGATCCACAGATATTTTTCTTAAGATCCCTCATGCTATTTTATCTAT